TCTGCAGCAGCCCTCTGACCTGACCCTATCACAACACACACACAGAAAGGACCCTGAGAGTTGTTAAACCTCTCTCTCCTCCCCACCCCCCCAAAAAAAGTGTGGTCCCTTTAAGAAACGCTTTTAAGGCTTTTGGGCCCTAACAGGCTGCCAGCAGCCACCCACCATCTTGCCTCCTTTTCTGGGCCGGACAGCTCCCCTGTGGAACCCAGCAAGCACCTGGGATTTTTGCCTTCTGGTCAGGGAAAATATCAGAAAATACCAGACATTTTAGGCCTCCGGTATTTTCTGAATTTTTTTACCGGACAGATGGTGAAAATACCACACTGTCTGGTTCAATACCAGACACCTGGCAACCATACCCCCTAAACAAAGATCCTTAATTGAAAAACAGCATCTCGAAAGAACCATGAAGTCTAGCTGGTGTTAGTTTACTAGGCTGGTGTAGAGATTGAAGGATCAAGCAAACAGTAGTGCTCCAGGTTTCAATGGGGCCCTGGAGCTTTAGGGTATGGGGCAATCCTGAGGGGAGCACTGCTGCATAGGAAGAAAGCTGAGAAGTAGTAAGCATGGCAGGTGCACTAGCCCTTCCCCCTACATTGCTCCATCCAGCTGCAGCTCAGTCAGTGCTTCTGCCTCCCGGAACCTTGTTGCTCCCACTTATTCACCTATCCCCAGCCCTGCCTGACCAGGAGGGCCTAACCAATAGATGGGCCTAATTAGCCTTCTTAGATTAATAGTTAATCCAGCCCCGCTTGCAGCTGAGAACTGATGGATCATAGAATCCTAGACCTGGAAGGGACTTTGAGAGGTCATCAAGTCCTGTCCCCTGCCCTCGGACCAACCACTCTCTAGATCATCCCTGACAGGTGTCTGTCTATCCTGCTCTTAAATATCTCCAGAGATGAGATTCCATAACCCCTGTAGGCAGTTTATTCCAGTGTTTAACCACCTAGACAGGAAGTTTTTCCTACTGTCCAACCTAAACCTCCCTTGCTGCAGTTTAAGTCCATTGTTTCTTGTTCTACCTCAGAGTCCAAGGTAGACTTTTTCTCTCTCCTCCTTGTAATACCCTTTTAGATAAATGGAAACCACTATCATGTCCCCCCTGTCTTCTCTTTTCTAAACTGAACAAGCCCAATTCTTTCAGTCTTCCCTCATAGGTCATGTTTTTAATCATTTTTGTTGATCTTCTCTGGACTTTCTCCAATTTTTCCACATCTTTCTTGAAACATGATGCCCAGAACAGGTCACAATACTCCAACTGAAGCCCAATCAGAGCAGAGCAGAAGAATGACTTCTCATGTCTTGCTCATAACACTTTGTTAATGCATCCCAGAATCATGCTTGCTTTTTTTTGCAATAGTGTCATAGTATTGACTCATGTTTAACTTCTTGTCCACTATTACCCCTAAATCCCTTTCAGTAGTACTCCTTCCTAGACAATCACTTCCCATTTTATAGGTGTGAAACTGATTGTTCCTTCCTAAGTGGAATACTTTGCATTTGTCCTTATTAAACTTCATCCTGTTTACCGCAGACCATTTCTTCCATTTGTCCAGATTAATTTGAGTTATGACCCTATCCTCCAAAGAACTTGCAACCCCTCCTAAAACAGTACATTCTCAAGCAAGCCATGTCGCCTACTGTGGCATCAAAGCCTGTGTTAGATCAGCAGTCACCCTCAGAATCACAGAGTGCTGTCATTTCGCACTTTGAAGCCGGAACCTCTCTGGCAAGTGCCCGAATGAAAAGTTTTCACTAGACCAATCAAGACCACACCAGCCCTTTACTTCTTGAGGAAAGCAAAAGTCAGGGACCTCAGAAGCTGAAAGACCACCACTTATTATTCACCTCATGCCATCCTCAGCCACACTTGAGCCCTCCATGGAACCAGATTTTGTATGTCAAGTACTTCAAGCTACAGCATGCAAAAGCCCACCTTATTGCTGAGAGTATTTCTTGCATTGTGTGCTTACTGTTTTGTATTTACAGCACGATTTCCGTGGAACCTGGAGTCAGCTGGAGAGTTCCCAGCTGATCCTGGGCACCGTGTGGTGCTGCTGCTTTGAAATGTTGAGCGGAGCCTGGGATCAGCTGGGGACTCCCCAGCTGATTCTGGGCTCCAGTATGGCATTTCAAAGCACGGAGAGCCCAGGGAGTCCCCAGCTGACCCCAGGCTCCAGGAGTCCCCAGTCTGGAGAAATGCCTTGCAGAGTCTGGGGTCAGCTAGGGAGTCCCCAGCTGATCCCAGGTTCCACAGAATATCACGAATTCCGAGGAATACTGTGGCATTTCAAAACAGCAGCACAGCATGGAACCCGGGATCGATCAGTGCAGGACTTTGTCCCCTGCTGACCACAGGCTCCATGAGGGTGCTTCTGCTTTGAAATGCACAAGAGCCCCCACTGAGGGTTCTTGTATATGTCAAAGGGTAAGCACCCTTATGGAGCCCAGAGTCAGTGGGACTTTCTGCTGGCCCCAGGCTGCACGCGGAGTTCTGCATTCGCCTGTAACAGTGCTGAAGAAGCTGATGCTGAAGGGCCCGATGCTGAGGACTGGAAAGCCTCTCAGTGCTGGTACCGATGATGGTGCCATAGACGGTGTCGCAAGGCCGGGGTAATACGGCACCAGTGCAGCCAAGATGGGGTCTGAAAGAGGTCCCAGCACCGAGGGAGGTCGAGTCCAGTCGAGAGCTGAGTGAAGCCTGGCGGCCTGCGTCGAGGCCAGCACCGATGTGGAGGCAAGCGGTACTGGTCCCACAGGCGACAGTCCTGCTGGCGACAGTCCCGCTGCAAAAGCGACCGGTGCCATCCGGTCATGCTGGTGCCAACATGGCCTCCAGCGTAGGCGACCTCGACCTCTCCGCCTCAATCGATGACGGAGGGGAAGTAGTAAGGTTAATAAGATCATGCGCCGCCTCAAATGTGTCCGTCGTGGAGGGGCGGTGCGAGGGTAGTTGCCCTGGACTGGATGGGCGTCCGACTCACTTATGCCACACCGTGGTGGATGAGGACGTGCTAACCGGAGACTCAGCACTGCAGTGTAGGCCCGACTTGGACTTCTGGCTCAGAGACCTACCACGGGACGTTGTTGATCTCTGCGGTGCCGGGGAGTGAGACCGGTGCCGAGCCCTTGATACCGAGGCCCGGTCTCAAGATGGAGCATCGCGTGTGGATGCCAGTGCACTGCAGAGTGTCCCGTCGGTGCCGGCTGTAAAGCCACCTCCATGAGGAGAAGTTTTAGATGAGAGTCTCTCTCCCTCTTAGTGCGTGGCTTAAACAACTTGCAGATCTTAAGATGGCCCTCACCCAGACACTTCAGACCACTGTCGTGAGGGTCTCCTTTGGGCATAAACTTTGCACAGACAGCGCACACCTTAAAGCCTTGCGACCCTGACATTCCTCACCCCCGAAGGGGCAGAAGAAAACACAGAGACACTAACTATCTAACTGATTGAACTGTTTAGAACTATCTCCAATACTAAGAGAAAAGGGAACCATTAACTGTTCTAACAGAGAGACACGTTCCAATGACCGTCATGGGTGGTAAGAAGGAACTGAGGTGGGGGAGCGCCGGCAGGTGTACTTATGCCCCACCATGGCGGCGCCACTCCAGGAGCGCTACAGGTACCGCTAGGGAAAATGCTCCAGAAGACGCGGGGTTCACATGGTGCGCACACCTAATTCAAATGGACATGAGCAACACATCTTGAAGAACAACAGTTACAGGTAAGTAACTGTTCTTTTCTGCATTCCTCCTTCAAAATGTACAAGAGCCCTACGGGCTCTTGTACATTTCGAAGGAGGAATGCAGAAGTGCCCGTCGATTAGTCAAGTAGTTGATGGAAATTCCATTGACTGCTCGACTAGTAAATTACTCGTTTAACATCCTTACTATCAATCCTTCTAGCAGGATGACAGAAGAGGAGGGACTCTGACAAACCACTGGTGAGTGAATTTCTCTTTATTTACTGCTACCATTGCTGAATACAGTCCCTATAATGTCTGTTCAATCTGCTAATATGTTCAGTTACCATAACATATTTAGCAGTGAAAACAGTGAGGCCATCCAGATCTAGAACATTTTTTATTTTCATGCATTCTTAAGATAATATTGAAAACTTTTATAAATTATAATTGTTGCAAAAATAAAACTGCACATCAGGATGAAAATATCTGAATTTAAGAAGCATAAACATTCAAGCTGCTTCACAAACATTATAGTACTTTAAAATAGGCTACTGGAAATCAACTCCTTTTATTCTGGTGGAGCTTCCTCTGGTGGAGCAACTTCTAGAAGCATCTGAAGGTGCATAGTGATGGGCCCTGAAAATAAGTTACTGTGGTTAGAGCTTTTTAGCACAAGTTTTAAAAGGCTTTCGGCAGTGTTAACCATATATTTTAATTGAAGTTTACACCATTTTACTAACTGAGTATAATGTTATATTCATAAGCATTTATTTTCCCTGCTCAACAAATGGAAAAACACAACTTGCACATGACCAAGGAGTAAATTGGTGGCAGATTTGGGATTTGATGCTGACATGGGGTTCCTGCCGCACACCTTGGTTTCAAGAGTTTTCTGTCATGTACATGGTTTACAGTTGGGTTCACTGGTTCTTAGCATCCCCACTATATAAATTGTTCCCCTGATTTGGGACGTGAATTCAGAAATTTGATGCTCCCAGTTTTGTGCTTCTTACAGTACACTGCACTGTTTTTCATAATATAATATAAAATAGCTTTAGTTTTTTGGACAGCTGGCTTATTTAAGGAAAAGCAATAATGTTGTGAGATTATATTCTATTAACACCAGTCCCGCTTTCCCTTTCAGTAGTGTCTCATTGCATCTTCCGTATCCTCCAGAAAATGGATGGGAGCTTTACTTTTTAAAGAAGAATGCAAGTCACAGCATAAACAGATCTGCAAGGACACAACTAAAACAATTATTTCCTCTTTATAGTGTTGTTTCATGTAGCAGTAAAGCACACTATAGAACTTTGGGTACGTCTACATAGCAGAGTAAAGTCAAATTAAACTACGCACTTTCAGCTACGTCAATGGCATAGCTGAAGTTGAAATGGCTGAATACAGCTTTTGGCACTGTCTACACAGCAGGACGTCGAAGGAAGAACACTCTTCCTTCAACTTCCCCGCCTCCTCATGAAGTGAGGGTTACAGGAGTTGGAGTAAGAAGCTTGGGTCCTGCAGCTCGACAGTATTTTTAAATAAAGGCTTGTAGTTTAGATGCTTGCTATATTATTTCGGAATAATGCTGCTGTGTAGACATAGCCTTTGAGTGCATGGTAGCAAGGTCCACATGTCCAATTAGTGCATGGCAAAATAGCGACTAGAATAGCGAAAGCAAGAGTAAGTTAGAAGGCGATGGATAAGAGCTGAAAAAGTAAAGTGATTAGCTTAGGAATGAAGCTGAGCATCTTGAAAATGTGTGTATTTAGCAGCATGTGGAAGGATGTGAGACATGGGTGATAATGAAAGATTCAAAGAGAAGGATATTGGCATTCAAGAGGAGTTATTATGGAAAGATCCTGAGATTAGGATGGATGCAGAAGGTCACCAACGAGGAATTATATAGGAAGATACAGCCGAAAGAGAACCTACTGCAGAAGGTTATACAATGGAAGTTACAGCTATTCAGGCATATTTGCAGAATGAACGACGAGCAAAAAGTTAAGACCCTGGTATTCGGCATAATGTATGGTCCAAATAGCAGAGGCAGACCCCACAGAGAATGGGTAGATGATATAGTAGATTGGTGCGGAGCTAGTCTATAGAAACTAAGCCACTCTGCACTGGACAGAGAAAGACGGAAGGAAATAGTGAGGGAGGCATCAGACACCAACAGACATTGAGCCCATGGTTGTTGATGATGACAAAACTCTAGTACACTGCAAATTTAGATCTCAACTTGCTACACACTAACACTCTGTACACAATTCTAAGGCAGTCACTTTAGTTTCCATTTAATGCTGTTAATTTTGTCTGTTAGACTGATTGTGAAAATACTCAGTCCTGAAGGAGATACAAGTGTACGGTAAGTGCCGGAACAGAAAAGAGCTAGGTGTGTTTAAAGTCAAGTTTCTAGCCAAGGCATTTTCAGATTGTTTAGACTTCTAAACAAAAGGAGAAATGAACAGTATAAGATTTTACTTTAAATAAAAACAAAAGTTAAAACAATATTACCAATGGAAACTTACACTATTTTACGTAGCCTTTGCACTGATGTACTGATATGTATCACTTTTTCAAAGAATGTTATAACCTAAATATCAAATCTTATGTCATCTCAAATTTTACACAGAAAGAAACTAAAGCAAAGATGTAATGTGCTGAAGAGTTGGGATTAGAATTCAGGAGCATCTCTTAATTGTTGCTATGCTTATATCAAAAGGTCATACTTCTCTTGCAATGTAAAATTAGATGTGATAGTTGAATATAAAGAGAACTTTTACTGAGGGGAGAACGGAGTGGTTGCCACATCTTAGAGGTATCTTGTTGTATGCTTCATTAAATAGACATCTTTGTTTGCAAATCACCTCTAAAAAAGTATACTTACTTGATATTTTTTGAGCCCAGTGAAATTTAAAATGAATAAAAAGGACGTAAAATATAAGTCCTCCAAACATAAATAAAACACAGTAGAGATATGCCAATTCAGGTTCACTGATGATCGGAGCCAAAACTAGTAAAATGGAGACCATTGTCACTATGATAGGAATGACAATAGGTATCTGTAATAGACAAAGCATAAATATATTCAGCAAATTACGTAGCTACTTTTTCTTGACACTGCATACCTTTAATTACATATCTCGTTTGAACACAATAAGTTATTGTTGTCTCCTTGTTTCTGATTTTTTTGAAAGAATATTCCGGAGAGAGTTCTGGAAATTAGTAAAGTGATTTAGGACAGGAGCAGCAACGGTCAGTTTGGCCTTGTCACAGACCAAGACTAGGTTGTTAGTCCCAATGCTAGAACTGTAAAACTGGCTATAAATGATAAACCTGACCTCCACTATGATGCACTCTCCAGATGAGTCCTGCACTCAACTCATTCTGACTTAACATGCTCACTCTGATTGCAGCCTCCCACCCCTTCTCCCTTATTTACGGCTAAATTTCTTTTCCCTCACAGGTTCACTATGGCAGGCTAAGGTGGAACATCAGTATGGACAAGATGCCGAAACCTGTACTACTTTGGTCTTCTCCCTGTCTCAGTTTATTCTCAAGAGAACAGAAAAAAAGGAAGCACACTAAATAGTAGCTTTCTGTGGCAAAATGATCGTCAAAAGAAGGGGATCAACTTTTCCAGTATGTTTTTCAATATTCCAAACTCCCTGACAAGTCCATGCCTTCATATTAATGGGGGTGGAGGAATACCAGTACTTGAGAACCATTTTTCTTATTACGAAGATCATGACTGGTTCATTTTGATTGTGTTTAGAAATGTGTTCTAGAATGGAACTTACTGTGATTGGTCGTTTGAGCTCTTTCCTTGTAAATCTCATAACTATGAGTCCAAATACAGTCAAACCATAAAATATCCAGACAGCGAAACTAAAGTAGTTTATGAGTGTGCTAATATCTCCAGGTATGATATAAAAAATAGCAACAGTACCCTAAAAATAAAAAGTAAGAATTAATGTTGATGTGGTGTAAGATGATGAGTATAGCAAGGAATTGAGCTCTCACCTTTATGGAGGGCACAGTTTTACATTCAAACTGATCCCATACACAATAAGTATATTTTTTTCCCTCTGCTTTGAGGTGAAGATTCAGTAACAATCCTGCATACTTGATACCCTTTCCTGAGAATGGCCTGATTCTGTAAATGTATGTGGTTAATTTTGAGCATGAGTAACCCCATTGTAGTCATACTCGAAGTTCAGTGTATGCATAAGTGCTTGCAAGATAAGTGCCAACATGATATACATCTTCTTTCCTGCTTGTATAAACCTAGTTGCTAAACATGAACAGTTTGCCTTGATGCTACATATACATATAACGGATCTCTCAAATTTGTGACAGTATATCTTGACACCTATTTTACAAGCCAGGAAAGTTTGTGGGGGAGAAAATTCTTAGGTTTCTTGTAGTTATAGAAACTCTGGAGTAAGCCAGTTGCCCATGAAGATAATTTTATTCTACATAGCTGATTTTCATTATTAGTATTCTTCCTTAAAACAAAAGGAGTTGAATTTTTATGGTCCAATTCTATGAACTTTAAAAGATGGAGAATCTGAATCTGGAATGGAGTTAGATTCTACCTGATCTGATTTTATGCATTACACAGTTGTTTTTACTTATAAAAGAATTTATTCTGCTATTTTCCTGTATATTCAACTCCATGTGCATGAAAGTACATATAGGATTGGCATATTGAGATCACTGTTGTCTTTGAAGAGCCAACGTAATTTCAGATCTGAGTATTCATTTTAGATTTATTTCAGCTGAAAGTTTTATTTCTTTGTTTAGCATTCATACTTACATAAAATATGATAGCAGGTGCTGGGGTGAAACGTTTAACATTAATGTAAGACAGCACCTTTAGCATGTGTCCTTCACGACCTGCTACATAAACAAGTCTGACAAAACAAAAACATATGTTAATCTGGTTAGTGAGGGATCCACACAAATTCAAGAATATTAATATTTAATATGGCTATATCTAAATAATACCAATATATGCCTCTTAAATGCATCAAGCCTAATTTAATATTTGCTAGAGCAATGTTTCCCAAATGGTGTTCCGCGGAACCCCAGGGTTCCGTGAAGTGAAAATAAGGGTTCTGCGAGAAAATTCCATTTCAGTAACATTTTATGATGATTTTTTAAAAGTTAATATTTAAGCATTTATGACTTTTATTGAAAATAATTTTCATGTGTTTACCACAAGTGTTCTTAGACAGAGAGTGAGGATGATGATGTCACTACTCAGCACTGTGCATGCAGTCAATCAGTGGTTCGATCGCCTGTTCTATACCACTGTAAATCCCCATACACACTCTCAGGGAGCATGGATCATGTGGGTGACTGAATATGAATATACTAGTGCCACATCAGACAACGTCGAGGCTTCAGCTGTCAAACCAGTTACTTGTGTGGGAGTGCACAGGCAGCGTTATTGCAAATACTTCAGTATAGTTGCGTGATTTCTTGTATTTAAAAATTTTAACCGTGACAAATATAAATTGACTGACAGATTAATCTATGTGCAATTAAACTAAATGTTGATCTCATTACCTTGTTTAAGCATTTGTTTATTATTATCCTTATTTGTGGTCTACTTTTTCAGCTCCATATAGAAGACTGTTATTAGGTAGGGGTTCTGCAAAATTCTTTTGAGTTTAAAAAGGTTCCATGACCAAGTAAAATTGGGAAACGCTGCTTTAGACAATGGCTGTTTTTAATTATAACTTTTTTCAAAACTAGTGCCTAACTCTATTCAACATAGAGATAAAACTGGTTCATTAATTTAGAGCAAACCATTCAATTTTCTTTTCCCTTAAATTCATCACATGAAACTTTCAGTACACACACAATTTCACGTATGATTTCAGGGATTTCAAAACCTTTTGAAGCATGAGGTTTTGCAAACCTCATATTATTTTGAGAACCCAAGACTAGTTTGTTACAACCTCTTTAATTTTTTATTTTCTTGTGTTTTATTTTTAAAGAACTATTTTTAGCTGAAAGAAGTCTGTACTTGTTTGTAGACATATTTTGAAAATTTTTAATCCCTTATTTTATAAACATTCTCAACCTTTCATAGCTGCTGGTCTTTGCTGAGGATGAACTAGATGACTAAGTTTGCAGATATTTTGTTGAATCATTTGTTTAAAATAAATCCTATACTTAGAAGACATATAAGTTCTACCTGTAAATCCAATTATGTATTCAGTATTTAGAGTTGAAATTTACCTGCCAGCTGTAAAACAGGTTCCATTGGCTGCTCCAATTGTAGAAAAGGCCACAAAGAGAGGAACTATCCATGAAGCTGGATAAAGGACCCGATCCCCAAATGTCTGAGATTTATAGAGAATTAAAATATAAACAAGTTAAAATAACATCTATCGTTTTTCCATTTAGTAGTGTGTTCACTGGCGTGGGTACAATTCAGATGAACTTTTAAAAATGTACATTTAAAATCTATATTAATATAATTTTGCATAGCTTATTTTTATCCCAAATTATTTTGCAAACTATATAAAATAATTTTCAGATACCATTCCAATAAAAAAAACTTGAGAATGGAAAGCAATAGTTGTGTTGCTATGACCAAATAATACTACACAGAAGTTTGTCATATCCAATTGAAAGCAGAGGAAATTTAAATACAGAACTTGTTAAATTGAAAGTGGATCAAGATACCAGCACTAACAGCCTTTCTTTTGCCAAAAGTAGCATAGAAATTTAAATATGTGAGGCTCAGAGTATCTTATCTTAGGGTATGTCTACACTTGCAGCCTATTTCAGAATAGGGCTGCAAATATAGGCTTTCAGAATTGCAAATCAAGCCCGGGATTTAAATATCCCGTGCTTGATTTGCATCTTCCCGGCCAGGTGCCATTTTTTGAAATTTACAAGCCCGGAATAACTGCCTGCGTCTACACGCGGCAGTGAAATGGGCATTCAAAATAAAGCCCTATTTCAAACTATCTGTTATTCCTCTTGCAGTGAGGTTTAAGATGCAAATCAAGCGCGGGATATTTAAATCCCGGGCTTGATTTGCAATTCCAAACACCTACATTTGCAACCCTATTCCGAAATAGGCTGTAAGTGTACCCTTACAGACTATAACCATTACCAATGCCTATGAATACCCCTTCCTAAGTACTAATTATGTTGATCTGGTTTGATCAATTTAGTAGTAGCTGATGTAATATAATTGGTTTAACTTATTATATTGGTAGGGACACTCAAAACTCCTAATCTTATAAATAAGACTATCTAGCTGTGTTTTAATTAAAGTATGCATACACCAATCTCTGTTCTGCAGCCATTTTTGAGAGTAGGCAAGATATTGAAATATACCCATTTGTCTGTACATCATTCATTGGTATGTGGAGTATTTCTTCATGTGTGCTTTTCTTTATTGTAGTGTGTTTGCCGAGTGCAGCATGTGATGAATTGTGTTCTTTTTTCCCCAGAACTAACATATTGATGGATATAACCAGGGATTCATATATTTACCAGTGAAAATAAAATTGTCACATTATCTCCTTCACTAAGCATTGTGGAGTAAAAGCATCACTAAACTGCACATCCACTGAATATTTTCTGTAGATGATCAAATGCATGCTAAACTGTCACTTTCTACAAACAAATTTCAAAAAGATACTTTTGCCTCTGTTACATAAGTAAAATTTTGATAGTTTAAAAATTTACAGGGGTATTGAAAAAGATCTTTCCTGAAAACTAAGAAAGCTAGGATTTTTTTATTATTGGATCCAGCTCTGCAACAAAAAAAGACTCTTATGTCATACTTGTAATTCCAAAATGAAAAGTGGCTTACCACAGCAACTGCCTGAGACTGCAGAAGTTCAGTTGGAGTCATTATTGTGAAATATGAAATATTAATCAGAACATAGCAAACTGAAACCAATGGAATTCCAATGATTATAGAAAGTGGTAGATTTCTACAGAATGTAAAAACATACAGTATCAGCATTTCTAAAGCACTAGGAAACTTTATTATAATGGATGTAGGCACTTGCCAGCTTTAGTTCAAAATTCTAAAGTCAATTGTACGTTAACTAATAAATACTTTATATGAATTGTTGTGTTAAGACTGAAGGATTGCTGTTCAGGACAATCACATTTTTAGGAATTCAGTACCCATGTTACTTATGCTACACAATGGATTGTTATAATTGAAGGGATATTTAACATTTCTTTTTTCATCATTTCTGCCATTTGTTTTCATTTTTCACTGTAAGTTGAGTAAAGTGTAATTCCAGTTGGATGTTCCTAGGACATGTACTTTCTAGTTCTCATCTAATAGCATAATCGCTGTTCACTCATAGGGTTGACACAATAGTGAGTCACAACTCCATGCAAATTGGATCTGACTTACTTCATCCACTGTATCTGGCAGAGCAGATCAATGCTTCATGTGCTCTAACTAGAATAACATGTTATATTTATTATTTTTTCACAAGTTCAGGGGAATGGGTAAATCCTTAGCCTCTGTGTTTATATTTCCATTTAATAACAAACATTTTTGTTCCTCTTGTAATTTAATAAAATGATTTTACAAATTTTACATTCACAGGAATTTCCTTTTGCAGCCAGCACCTTAAGTAATTCATAGTGATGGCTCTTCTTCTTTCCACTGGCAGGCAGCTGATGAGTTAGAAGAAAAGGAGAATATCCTTTCACAAGACTAGAGTAATGCTACTATGGCATAGAGCCTCATTTCTGTTTTGCAGGAGGGCGGATACTGCTTTGCAGTTCCTATTGGGCTTTTTTTCTTAAGATGCATGCAAAACCATGGGTAAAAATGAGACTTTATCAGCTGTTGTGTCCACAGTGGCCAGTAAGCAGATGAAATGTGGGAGCATCTCTTCTACCTCAAGACCCATCTGACTGCTGAGTTTACTAATACAGGTGTCTGCTACTGTTTTCACAAACATAAATGGACTCATTTCCATGAGCCCAGTCAGAAATAAATAAAAGTAAAGCCCTCTGTTTGCCTCGCCTGGTTCCACAACCACAAGTTGGCTCAGATAACTTGCTGCTGGATCCCCTCTGATGGGGTCCCTGTGCCTTCATTGATCTGTAGATGGCAAGGAAGCCAAAGTTTTCATGGCTGCTACCTCTCTCAGCCTATGTCTAGGCTGCAGAGCTTTTCCGGGAGACCTTCAGTATCCCAGAAAAGCTATGCTGCATCCCAGGAACATGTCCATTTTTTCGGAACAGTTTCCGAAAAAGTGAACATTCTTTTGGCATCCCTGTATTCCTCATTGTATGAGGAAGAAGGGATGTTCCAAAAGAGGAGGTTTTTCTGAAATTTGGCCTTATGTAGACAGGCTAAATTTCAGAAAAGCCTCTTCTGGGGAAAAAACGTGGAAAAAGATACTCAAATCACAGTTCGCAATTTGCGTATCTTTTTCCAACTTTTCTTTGCAGTCTAGACATAGCCTCACTTGACCTAACTGCAAAGCTCAGGCCCTCTCTAAGGACCATAGAAACAAGAAATTCTGTGGAAAGTGGCCACTCTTTGAAGCCTGAAAATTCTTCCTCTCCAAAAGAGCTTCCTATTCCCCAAAAAATCTTGAGTCATCAAGCATGTCACAAAAGGAAAGGATCCTGCACTTACCCAGGCTCAGGCCTTTCAATGGGGAAGATATCATTCAATCAACTAATTACCACTGTGACTTTTTTGTAGTAGTGCAAAAAATGCCATGCATTTTGAAAATCATTGATGTCTCAGTGGATTCAGCAAAGTAAAAGTCTGTCAAGACCAAGGGTCAGCTCATGGGCAGAAAATTAGGGAGGAAGTAGTCCTTTGTAAACAAGATTTACATGATCATCTCGGAGTCCACTTATAGTTTAATAAGCATTATAGAATGGATATTGTTGCTTTAGTCAAAGCAAATTTTGGCAGACAACATTCTAAATTCAATAATACAAGTTAATCCACTATATTTTTAAGGAATCTTTGTGCAGGGTTTTTTTCCATTCTAGTTCACCTGATTGGTACTGACATTCAGAACCCACTCATATGGATTACTGGGGCTACTTGCTGCAGAAAAGGGATTTTCCCCTGTCTGTAGAATTTGTCACTGGGAGAATAGCTCCAGTAGACCGTATGCCCACCTATTCATTGTTGTTCCACTTAGTTGGTGTTGGATGATCGCCTATTCTATTAGATCTGGTCTACACTATATGGGAAGGTCAAATTAAGATACACAACTCAAGCTGTGTAAATTACGAAGTTGGAGTCTACATCTGTTACATAGAGTTTCCACTCCATCCACACAGTGGGAGGCGGACAGGGACGAATGCTCCCATCAGCTTCCCTTACTCTTTGTGAGGAGCAGGAGTACCAGTGTCAGTGGGGGCATTCTTTGAGTATGACCAAGTGGGTCTATACTAGACCTGCTAAATTGAATCCCAGAAGATCAACTGTGGCAGCATCGATCTTCTGCATAGTGTAGACGTGACTTTAGTGAATTAATTCTAGGGGAGTTACTCTCCTGTTCTTCTGTGTATACTAGTAGCACTGACTTCTTGTGGTGGGAGCCTCTTTTTCTTTACTGTCTAACTGCCTGTCAGTCACCTGGCAAGAGAAGTCAGGGTTATTTGACTTATACTTTGAGAAACCCATTGTATAGGTAGGGAAGTAATATATTTTATTGTCATTGTGTACTCTTAAGACTTTCTGGAAGAAACTAAAATGATAGGAAGCTTGATGCATATTTCTCTAGAACTGTCATTAACTCTGAGTGAACTTCTGGTAGTCTCTATTGACGTCCGCGCACAACTTCTCACTTCTAATTAGAATGGAAGAGAATTATATAGTCTATTTTCAGGCAATTTTCTATACTATAGAGGGGCATTTCTCACTATTTCTAAAATAATCTGATTGAAACCTCATTTAAATCTATGTAGACGATAATCAGAAATTCAATATTCTTTTAAATCAAAAGTAGCGGTCAGCAAGTGGATGGAAAAGAATTAGCATGCATTCTCTTTTTGTTTGGCATTGTAGAGTCATGAAAAAGAATAATGAATTACAGATTACTCAAATATGCAGTATTCAGTGTAAAACCCAGAATAAATGCTAATGAAATTATTTCTTTGTGAACAAGCACCAAACCTTGCGTGCTCAGTTCTTAACCAGAGAGATAGTAAAATATGCAGCTGCTATTAAGACTTTTAATGATCTGATAGTGACATTTTTGTCATTCTAGCCTTCAAAGTTATCTTTTGGTTGTTTCACCTGTAAGGATTTTTAAGTTCTTCTGTAATGTAATTGAGTTGATTCCTGCAAAAAAATACATTAGCATAATGTTACTCATAATCAGATGCTGAAATGCCAAATTGCTAAAGCCTGGTCTTTTATTTCTGACATCACTATTGCTGCTTTTCAACCTCTAGCAAGAATAAAAGACCAGGTAAGATTCTTAACTTAACCAAAGCTGTTAGATCTGGGTTCTGTACCGAGCTCTGCCTCTTTCACTATATGACACTGGACAAGTCCCTTAACCTCTCGATGACTCACTTACCTGTAACACGAGGTGATTAATGTCAAGGTTTAGGGATTTTTGTAAGGAAGGAGCTGTGGCTTAGTGTGGAGTTGAAGTGGATTGCTCAGGTGTATACGTTATGTTTCATTGCCAAAGTGTAAGAATCTAGCTTAGAGAACAACCAGGACTTCAGACTAATAAATTGTTTAAATTAATGACAGGTTTTCAACAAAGCTCACATGCCACAAGGTTGCTTGTGACCTCCATGAGTCCTGGAAAATGTAAATATTTTTTAATAAAAACATTTTTATACCAAATACAGGCCTTAATGCTGGGGTGACCATATTTCACAATGGAAAAATGACACTCCCTAGCTGCTCTACTGATTTCTCCCTTCGTCCAGATGGTGGCCCCAGCATCCTAAAGTGCTCCCCCCCTTCCCGCGCCCCTGAGACTTTTGCTGGTCACTGGAACCCTTGTCTTCCCTTCCGGCACGTTCCTCTGCACCTAATTTCACTTTTTGACAAAAATGGCCATTTGTCCCATTTGCACTTGCTAACTGATCAAGTCAGCAAGCACAAATGGGACAAAAGCCCACTTTTGCAAATAATAATAATTTGGGACAGCCAAATTATTATGTCTAATAAATCTGTTATTCTCTAAGGTGCAACAGGATTCCTCATTGTTTTTGCAGATACAGACTAACACAGCTACCCCTCTGAGATTTTGCACTAAGTAGGGTGACCACAGACTAACAGATTTATTAGGCATCACAAAAACTTACACCCTAATAAATCTGTTAGTCTCTAAGGTGCTGCACAGGACTCTTTGTTGTTTTTACTTAATGTAGTTACTGTCATTTAGTAATGAAATACTACTACAATTGCTTATCCATGAGTCTTTCATGAAAACTTTTGTAACATTTTTACAGCCACCAGAATGTAAACTTCCAAATATTCATTTTTGTTAGACTTATTTTAAGCTACACTGTTTTATGCTAGTA